CCACATCATCTCCCAAAGCTCCACCTGCGTCGTAGTCCTCCGCATCAGCCCAAGCAGTAGAAGAACGCTTGGTCACTGGCCGCACATCCTCACAGCCGGAGGCGGACCCAGAACCACGGGCCTCACGAACCGGGCGAACCGACGCCCGTCGCAAAACGGCAGCAGCCTCTACCACAGGGGGAACCGGACCACACACAGTAGGAGGTTCCACAGCCACCCCAGCACCCAGCACAGGAGGAACCCGAGGGGAGAACGCAGGGCCAGGGTCCACAGCCGAAGACGAGGAAGCCGACGGCGACGCTCCACAGGGATCACCAGGAAGGGCCATGGGAACGGCAGGGCCAGAGACATGGTCAGGAGGAACATCCGACGGGACCGCAACACCCGGAGGAGGGTCTGCGACAACCGGGGGAACGTCGGGTGACACTGGGGGAGCCTCAGCAGCAAACGGGACGTTCACCTCCTCACCCCCGGAGTCCTCCTCCAGAGGGAGCGGCGGGAAATCCTCCTCAGGGAACATGTTCACAGGAACGACCGGATCAGCAGTACACCCGGCAGCCTGATGCCCCAACAAGCCACACCGGAAGCAAGTACGGGGTTGCCGGGCATAAAACACATGCTTGTAGTACCCCAACAGCCGGACAGAGCACGGTATGTCCGACCTCAGTCGCATCCCGAGGGTCCGAATGTTGGTCTTCACACCCGAATACGTGCCAGACGACAGCAAGTTCATCCGCACACTGATGACGGAGCCGTACCTCTGGAAGAATCGCCGGAGGAGAGTCTCAGGAAACTCCATGGGGGCACCATGAACACTGACATACGTCACAGCACCACAACGGTCTGAAAAGGTCACAGGCCCGGTGCCGTCCTGTAGCTGCAAAGTACGTCCCTCGTACCTCCGTAAGAAAGCACGGTACACCGCCTCACCCACAAACTTGACAATAACACGGTGAGTAGTTACCAGCTCAATGCATATACGTCCTCAACCGGGACACGAAGCATGTCACTCAATACCACGTCCACCAGCGGGTAACCAGCACGGCCAGTAAACTCCAATCCGATGGAGTTTATCCTCACGACAGGGGGAAGACGGCCGCCCATCGTAAAAGCGCCACGTCCACACCACCAGGAACAGCAGGGAGGGTAGACACACCCACACCCCCTGCCGGCAAAAACGGCAACCACCCTAAACTACCAGAGCGATCAGGCGACACGTCCTCACTGCACGGCAGCTCAGGAGCAACTCCACTGTGAACAATTTGATACCAAATTGAACGACGTAGCACGAAAATTGACGTCAGAAAGCTGATAAAAGTATACTTACAAATTTAACGTATTTGTTTACTACAATCTCGGTGCTGACTGTATAAGTTGAAAAAACCTAGTTTTACATCGAAATAAACTAATTGTATAAGAAAATTTGATGTAAATAGGTGGCAGGTGATGGTCGATGGGCTCCGAAAAGCCAGCGTCGTGATTGGCTAAACCTGTAAGAGGAGCTATGTAACCTTCTCTCTGATTGGCCAGATGAAAAGCCTTAGTGACATTTATCGAGACTTAGGTGAGCTTTAACAAAATTGCTAATAAATGAGTGCGAACACCTTCCTGAATCGTACGTACGGTTCTTCTTGCCAAGTACTTAAGAACCTTTGTAGCATAGCTACTTTAGAAGACCAAAGTACTTTAGAAGACGAACAAATCCACAAGGGCCGTGACAAGGATTCGAACCTGCGTCCGGGAGCATCCCAGACGCTGCCTTAATCGATTGAGCTACGACATGGTCAAGAGGAGTTGAAACCCAAGTTCTATTGAACATACTGGATCCAGCAGCCTCTCCGAGGCACAAACCAGGGTTTTACACAACTCCCCCCATGCACTCGAGCTATGTAAATAGGCCGTTCTCCTTCTTCGCCCTTACTTCATTACACACAGAAATCACAATTGCGTGATGCATCAAATGAACAAATCCACAAGGGCCGTGACGAGGATTCGAACCTGCGAAGAGGGAGAACGGCCGCTTGACATTGCTCGAGTGTTAGTTCAGTAGAACTTCGGTTTCAACTCCTTTTGACCATGTCGTAGCTCAGTCGATTAATGCAGCGTCTGGGATGCTCTCGGACGCAGGTTCTAATCCTCGTCACGGCCCTTGTGGATTTGTTCATTTGATGCATCGCGCAATTGTGATTTCCTTGTGTACTTTAGAAGACTTTTGTGACCACAAGGATTCCATATCCCCCTTGGAGACAGTGTTGCCTCCTAGCAAGACGCTGTAGAACTAGTCATGATATCACGAGGTGCCCAGGTGCACCTACAAATTATTAGGAGTTCACAGGTAAGCGTGGGGAGGCTTAGGTGCTATTATTGGTCAACAGGTGATGACGTCACGGATTCCTGGAGGACGCTAGAGGCGCTTAGGACAAGCATTCGGACTCCAGATCCTGTGATAGCTACGCTGCCCCTCAGAACTCCGGGCAAGTGAGTTTCATCTAAGTATGGAGACCTTGTTTCTTGAATACAAGGTACTCCTTGTAACCAAGAAACGAACCAGACTCTAATCACTGGTGAATTTCGCTGCACAAGTGGATTATACATAGTATTGGAAGATTGTTAATTACGGTGCAACAACGGTTCGAGGACGAGCCACCAAGACCACGTGCGTCATATGTAAGGTACTAGCAGTGTGGAATAACGGTGTAAGGAGATTCACGTGAAACTTCAGGGGAAATTATCGAGTAACCGACAAAGGGAAGACGTTGTAAGACGTGGTACAAATGCAGAAGCGAGAAATGTGGATGTGTGTTTGGGCGCGCCACTTCTTGTCTCAGTGAGAGGGTTTATTGTATATAAACATGTCAACACTATCTGCATTCTACAGATAGTGTTGAGTGAGGGTGTGATTGCCCTAGCACTATTGATGGTCGTGTCAAGGTGCTTGCAACACGACTTGCTTGCAACACGCGAGCTGTACCAGCTCGCGTGTTGCAAGCAAGTTACTCCTGGAATTACCTTGTCATCTGGAAAGCTAGAGGTTCGAGCCTGATCCAGCATTGTGATGCAGTGTTGAGCTCCCTCGCTAATATCTACAGTCTTACTGGACGTCTGGAGACGCCTGGAACTTCGCTGGCAGTGTGAATGAAGTGGTTGAGTGTAAGTACATAACCCGGGGTATTTAATTCTTGTGTGGTGCACATATTAATTTGGGTGATCACTAATCACCCAATCTCGGATTGGTCAGAGTATATCTCACAACGAACTTTCTCTGTATTTGGACTCAATAAGATTGTGGAAGTGTTAAGCTGTCAGCTCGGGAGGAGTGACAGGTCTTAACCTTTGAGTGTCGCGTCGCTAGTGAGTGACCGACAAGTATATGTGTGAACGGTATTATAAACAAATTTTGAGTTGGGATTTGTTACCATATGTTACAGGAAGTGTTGGGAGTGATTAATTGCTACGGTTGTCCCTGTGACGTGTAGGTAACTTGTGTGATTAGCGGTTTTATTTGTGGCACACTTATTATATTATTGTGTGATTATCCCATGGTGTTGTCCTGTCTAGTGATACCTTGTTATTGGTTTTGTCTCTGTGATAAAACACTAACAAGTAGATCATTAGTTGTTAAATAATTAATTGATTGTTGTTAAAGTTGTTAAATAATTAATTGATTGTTGACTATCTGAGTGACAATGTGATTAACATAAGTTTTTAATAAATTATCATTGATTGTTTACTGTCTGAGTGACAGAGTGATTAGCATAAAGTTGTTAATTAATTAATATTGACTGTTTACTGTCTGAATGACGTAGTGATTAACAAAATTAGTTCATTAATTTTGATTTAATGTCTTGGTGACAACGTTGAACGTAAAGAAATTACCTGTTGTATTATTTGTTTGTTTTAGATTCAGCTACTCGGAACAAAAGTTCCAAGTAGCACGGGCTATGGTGAGCCCGTAGTGGACTTGTCGACTTATTGTGGTTATATCTTAGTGACAGTGTTCTTTTGCATTCATTAACATGAATTAATTTGTTGTGTTGTTGAAGTGTTTTGATACTGCCAGTAGCGAGTGCAGTAATTTCCAAGAGTGTTCCCGAAGTGTTCAGCTAGTTCTCTTTTGTTCATGACCCATATCTTCCTCTCCACACGCCCTTCCGTTCCTCTTCTCCACTCACCCTTCTCATTGCCCTTTCCACTTTCCCTCCCTATCTCTCTCTAGTCCACTTTCTCTCCACACCCCCATCTCTCTTTTTACACACACCTCCATCTAACTTTCAACACACCCCTGTCTCCATCTCTACAACCCCCATCTCCTACCCATTCCCCATTTCTCTTTTCATCCCTTCATCTCTCTCTCCACATATATCTTTATATTCAACCTTCCTTCTCTCCCCTTCCACATCCCTCTCTACACCCTTCTCGTTTTCTCCCTTTCCCCTCACGACCCACCCTTCCCTATCTCCCTCTCCACATACCCTCCTCATCCCACCAACACACATTTCCTGTCTAGCCCCATCATTTTTCCTAAACTATCCCTATCAATGCAACCCAAATGTTGTGCCCAGAATACAAAACCGTCATCTGAATAAATGTTTTGAAAGTCAATATCAGAACTTTACTAAACAAGTCACAGCCCTCACAAGTCACAGCCCTCACAAGTCACAGTAAATACCCCTCCACAACTTTGTGGTGGAGGGGTATTGGAGAGATGCCCTCCTTCAGGTGGGCCAGAGGGCCAATCCCGATTCCAATATTCCTCTCATGATAAAATAAAATTTAACCTTGCAATGATTAATGAGGATAGCTCTAAGCATCTGGCCTCCAACCTCCGACAGACATTCTATTTGTTGATATTGATAAACAAACTTGAGATACTTTGTTAGGATATTAGGTAATATGTCCTAACGTATGAAATACATGGATATTTCTAGAACAATTAATTATATAGCTCTAATTTGCGATTTTTACGCATTAAATTTCAAGGCAGGGGAGTGAGACCTTACCTCACTTAGGTTAGTGGTGACCTTGCACAGCAGGGGACACAGGTTCTGCTCCACGTCCAACATGTGGTACTTAAACCACCCGTTATTGACGAAGTGTCGCTCAGTGTAAACAAAAGCTTTAGGAGTGGTGCCAGATCTAAACCTGAAAAACGGAAAGATCTAATTTAAAATAAACACACACCCCATTCCATTCAGAAACTTGTGTAAGGAATCATTCAGAACTTTGTATACCACATATGTCAGGCCAGTCCTGGAGTATGCAGCTCCCGCATGGAGTCTATATCTAGTCAAGGATAAGACCAAACTGGAAAAGGTTAAAAGGTTTGGCACTAGACTAGTACCCGAGCTGAGGGGTATGAGCTACGAGGAGAGACTACGGGAATTAAACCTCACTTTGCTGGAAGAGTTAGGGGGGACATGATCACCACATTCAAGATTCTCAAGGGAATTGATAGGGTAGATAAAGACAGTCTATTTAACAAAAGGGGCACACGCATTAGGGGACACAGGTGGAAACTGAGTGCCCGAATGAGCCACAGAGATATTAGAAAGAACTTTTTTAGTGTCAGAGTGGTTGACAAATGGAATGCATTAAGAACTGATGTGGTGGAGGCTGACTCCATACGCAGTTTCAAGTGTAGATATGATAGAACACAATAGGCTCAGGAACCTGTACACCTGTTGATTGACGGTTAAGAGGCGGTGAGCCACAGGGACGTTAGAAAAAACTTTTTCTGGGTAAGAGTAGTTAACAGGTGGAATGCGTTAGACAGTGATGAGATGGAGGCTGACTCCATACACAGTTTCAAATGTAGATATGATAGAGCCCATTAGGCTCAGGAATCTGTACACCTGAACTGATTGACAGTTGAGAGGCGGGACCAAAGAGCCAAAGCTCAAACCCCCGCAAGCACAAATAGGTTAGTACAAATAGGTGAGTACACACTCACACGTGCGGGGGTTGAGTTCTGGCTCTTTGGTCTCACCTCTCAAATGTCAATCAACTGATGAACAGGTTCCTGGGCCTATTGGGCTCTATCATATTTACACTTGAAACTGTGTATGGAGTCAGCCTCCACCACATCACTGCCTAATGCATTACATTTGTCTGTTACTCTGACACTTAAAAAAATCTTTCTAATGTCTCTATGGCTCATTTGGGCACTTAATTTCCATCTGTTCCCTAGTGCGTGTGCTCCTTGCGTTAAATAGGCTGTGTTTATCTACCATATCAAGTCCTCTGAGAATCTTGTATGTGGTGATCATATCCCCCCTAACTCATCTGTCTCCCAGTTACATGAGGTTTAATTCCCGTAGTCTCTCCTCATAGCTCATACCCCTCAGTTCGGGTACTAGTCTGGTGGCAAGCCTTTGAACCTTTTCCAGTTAAGTCTTATGCTTGACTAGATATGGACTCCATGCTGGAGCCGCATTCTCCAGGATTAGTCTGACATATGTGGTATACAAAGTTCTGAAAGGTTCCTTACACAAGTTTCTAAAGGCCGTTTTTATGTTTGCCAACCTGGCATATGCCGCTGATGTTATCCGTTGATGATATGGGCTTCAGGAGATAGGTTTGGCATGATATCAACCCCCAGGTCTCTCTCTCTCTCTCTCTCTCTCTCTCTCTCTCTCTCTCTCTCTCTCTCTCTCTCTCTCTCTCTCTCTCTCTCTCTCTCTCTCTCTCTCTCTCTCTCTCTCTCTCTCTCTGACTCTTGAAGTATTTCATCTCCCAAATGATTCCTTGTATCTGGTCTCCTGCTCCTTACACCTATATTATATACTCCCTTCATTATATTATATTTGCTTGGGTCTTCCCACTCTCACAGCATCATTGTAACCATTTTCACTATACACATTCGTCATCACTGCAAATATCTACACATCCTCTCCATTTGTGTCCACACAGACCTTCCTTATCTCCCACACATACTCAGTCGCCCAAACCCACTCCCCATCTCCCTCCCACACATCCTGCACATCTTTTTACGACACATCCTCCACATCTCCCACACATCACCGCCATCTCCTTCAAACAGTTCCTCCCCATCTCCATCCCACAAATCCTGCCCATCTCCCTCCCACACATTCTCCCCTTCTTTTCCCACAAATCCTCGTCATCTACCTTCCACATATACTGCCCATCTCCCTCCAACACATCAACCCCATCTACCTCCCACACATCCTGCCCATCTCCCGCACATCCTCTCCATCTCTCTCTAACACATCCTTCCCATCTCCCTCCAACACATCAACCCCATCTACCTCCCACACATCCTGCCCATCTCCCACACATCCTCTCCACCTCTCTCTAACACATCCTTCCCATCTCCCTCCCACACATCCTGCCCATCTCCCTCCCACACATCCTCCCCATCTCCCTCCCACATATGCTCCCAGTCTCCCTCTCACACATCTGTGAAGGTATGGGTTTTCAGCAGTTTTTACACAAGCAGGACAGTCATCACAATACTGAATGACGTCTTTCTTTAATCCAGACCGGGTAAAGTATTTGCTTATTTGTTTTTGTAATACCCTGATGACCGCCTATTTGTGAGTCATGGGCTACACTTAACAACTTTTCTTTATAACCCCTCGGTAGGACTACTTAATTAACTACCTGCCAAGTGTGTGACACAGGTCAGCTCCAAGGTCTCCACTTCCACATCAACACCTCGTTAGTGTAGTAATAAGTCATAACTTCCGATTCTGCCTTTTAATTCAGTTACTGCCTTATTATGTCAGTCAGTCAACGTAGGATCAGTTCATTGTTGATTTATAAAGTTAAATTTTGGTCTCAAGTCCAAATAATCACTCACCAATATGGTTTACCTTTCTCAAAAAACACAAGCAGTATGGTAAATTTAAATACCTCGCTCTGGCATTCGTGAGTTTAATGAGCAACCACACATATCATAGCATTTATCAAACACACAAGAATATATAAGGAAACTGGACTCTCACTCTATTATCCCACTTTGAAGTGCCTTAAACTACTCTAGGGTATCCTGCAGCTTTAATAAATAAAAAAAATTGTGGGTTATCTGAATTTCTGGCAGAATGTAACCCTCTAAAATCAAGGCCGTCAGATAACACGTCCTCTCTCCGTCAAGTCTCTTCGGCAGCCGTCCTAGTTTGCCAGGTCGCCCTGTAATAACCCCACCTGCTATTCCCCTTCTCACTTAACACCCCAGCTTAACACTGCTTGCTGATCACTGTGAACCTCACTGAACTACCAGCTAATATTAAATCTGAAATATTAAATGAGGGAGAGCAACATATATAAAAGGGGTCATTAATTTTAAAATAGTGAATAAAAACTTAAATGTACACTGCTACCACCTTCCTGATACCTGAATGTGTCTGGATTACTGATCTCCCAGGAAGGACAGAAATCAATAATCATTAACTCGGAGGGCGTAGAAATCTTGGTAATAATGCTTGGGGATTAATTATATCGAAATCTTTACTTTACTTATTGAGGATTCAAGGGCAACTTTAATATCCCTGAAATGAAGAACGCAGGGGGATTTCTAGAACAGCACATAAAAACCACATATTAAAATGACTAAGCATTAATAAAAGAGGAAACAGATAACTAAACAACAAATTACATTAATAAGAACTTTATTGACCAAAGACACGTATATTTATATCAAATTTAAATATATCTTGCTCTAAATATATCCCTAAGAGGCAATATAACCGGAGTGTAATTACTTTGATGTACCAAAACTCAGACAGATATTACCTTACTCCTGAAATACCAGCCACAGAATGTTGAGTGGCTCCCCTCTGGCCCTGATGGGGACCTGCCCCAAGTTGCTCCCAAAGACACACTGACTAATATTTTCTTATACAACCCCAGGGAGGCCTATCGTTTTCCTTACAAGCTTGGTTCTGGGCTAGAAGCGCCAATCAATTCAAACCAAAGCTGGATGCTCTTGTCTCCTTCGTCAATGGGGTGCCTGGCCCTACCCAAGGGGGACTCCGCCTCTTGAGACTTATACCAATCACTTGAGCCCCCAGGCCTAGTACCTTGGCATCACTAACCAATGAAACAAAAACCCTGCTCTTGGCCAATGAATAGCCTAACACTGCCCGAAAGCGGTCTTATCACGCAAACTGGAAATAAGCAGTTACAACCAGCTCACGGGAACAAGCTTCGTCTGGCCAGTCACCCAAGAGGAAATTTGAGAACATGGTTTTATGGTACTGAGTTTAACTGCCCTTCAATTTGTCAATGGCTATAGTGGAGGCAGAGGAGAGGGGAAAGAGTGGAAGTAGAAAGGGAAAATAAGTGGTGATGGAGTGGGCACAGAGAGTAAAGAGGTACCTTCCCACCAACCAGGGGTTTCTTGACTCCATGGTTTATGGCAGGAAAGGGCCAACAGGGGAGGGGGAGAAAGAACAAGGACAGGAACGGCAAACGAGGAGGAAGGGGAAAGGGAAGGGGAGAACGGGGATTGCTTGGTCTGTGCACAGACCATTACAACTCCCCATGTTCGCAAATTAAGAAATTCGTTTGTAAAACACTTTAAAGCACGAATTTCTTATCCAGCCCTTCTATAACCATTACTCCAAAATAATAATAACAACAAAATTATCCCAACAATATAATGACCCAGTACCTCAAAACAAAAGACAATTATGTAATTCTAACTAATTCCATACAATTTCTCATTAAAAAATAATGGCACCCCCAAAGGGTATACCCCCAATATGTATGAATACATAACAACATGAAAGAATCAACAATGATACATAAGAAATAAATGGGGACAGAGACCGTCCCTATGAGCCTGGCTGTCCAACTTGGATGTAGCCCCGCATCCCTTCCAACTCCCTGGAAGACAAAACATCCTATACCTGTCCTGATATAGCAAAAAAATCAATAGTAATAATCCATACTTATGAACTTACAACTAGCTAAATCATTGGGTAGCCCTCTGCTATCAATGTATTCATCCTCGAATCAAAATTAAACACATCACTTCACATAAAATAGAAACATTAAAATAAAAAATTGCAACAGTTAAAATCGTCAAAAACAACAAAAATATTCAAATAAATTGACACTACCTCACAAGGTCCCAGTGTTCCACTCCACACCTTTGGCAAGTACCCACCACAGCATATATT